TGCATTATAAAGACTTGCTTAAAAGCATGACATAGTCTGTTGTCATTGTTTCTTTATGTGTTGTAAACCAACATAAATATTAAGGAAGAGAATGGTATATCTTTCCTCTGCATCTTTAACCCATTCTTAACGGAGCATGGATACAACCCTTAGAAAGAAAACCCTGGTGAAATGGCATCTCTAACACTCTCTCCTCAGGTTCTAATGGCTCCAGGGGAGAAGCACTGTTGGTCTTAGCCTAACCATATTGGCAACGTGACAGGAAACTAGTATCTCTAAGGCCAGTAGTGCACAGCAGTTTCCATCTAAAATTCTATTTATTTTCCCACCATCTTTTATGAAGATGACTGACCTAGAAATTAGGGCTGAGTGTGAGTTAAAATGATCCAATATACATTTACTGTGAAAGTCAACCTGCTAATCTCTGTCTGGGATGATCCTACTGGGGGATATGCCAAACTTCCTGGTTTGCTTATTAACTAATGGTCACCGACATCGCTGGGGGCAAGCAGCAGGACACTGTGCTGTTTGCTGACCTTGGCAAATGATAAACTATGGTTTATTTAATCCTTGGTTCCCCAACTTAATATAATTTAAAGTCTTTTAATGTGCTAAAAGTCTCTAAGGCAGCAAACTAATATGTTGAATATGGTATCCACTATTTCACAGTGACTAGCCATGACATGATTCATACGTAGGATCAAGTTTCCTGATCAAGATACCTTTGTCATCCTTCTTTTTATAAATTCTGACAGATAATCTGATAGATATTAATGCACAGATATTAGAATAAACTGCTAAAAGTTCTAGTCTTATCCAAAATAAACTTTGTTTTAAGCTTAGTCTTTAAAAATATAAGTTAACAGGATACATTCTGATTTCTTTTTTTCAGGTAAGAGAAAACTGTTTTTTTTTTTTTTTTTTTTTAATGTGCATAGTTCCAGCTGGACTCCAGCAACATTTTTTTGGGGTAGTCCAATACTGTTTCCTAGAAAATTACAAATTAACCACAACCCCTAGGGAAACAGGAATTGCTCCATCCCAAATACTGTCAGGGGTAAGAATAAAAATGTTTTACATTTCATTTTCTTTCTTTAAGCTTTATTCTTGTTTTTAAGGTAAAAGTTATAATTAGTATTCCTATTAGCAGCAAAGATCCTAATTTCTGTAAATTAAAACGACTCAGGACTGACAGAAGTCACATTTTCGCAAAGAATGAGGGATCCACAGCAGGTAATAAATGTCTATCAATTTGGGCATTAAGCAATCTTATTTGAGAGGTTGATTCGTACGAAAACAGCCAATAGTATGCAAGGTCTCATCTGAAGTTCGGGCCTATGACTCTGCAGCAGGAAGCTGAGTTGGCCCAGCCGTATGCAGTGGAAAATGTCCATGTGGTCAGACTGAAGAGGGGGCATATGGGCTCTTACTCTGGCTCTTCAGTGAAAGTGGTTACTTCTAACAGATAGTTGAAAGTGGAAGCTGCTTTGAAACTTTTCAAAGTGTTAGAAAGTCTAGTACAATGACAAGTTTTTCTCATATTCTGTCAAGTTTCACAACCTGAGCTTAGTGAAATGGCAAGAATCAGAAAATAGTACAAAAATTGCAAGGAGCTCGAGAGTTCTCCAGTTTTAGTCACTCCAAATGCCACAGCAGCAGCATCTTATCAGAGTGTCACTGCTGTGACTACTGGGGGTTCATTCCCAGGAGAAAGATTCAAGCCAGCAAAGTTTGATCAGGACAGTGTCTCTTTTAAAAGGCTAGAGAAATTAGTTTGAATCCCAAGTTTCTTGTCTGTTTCTAAGTAGTGTTTATTCAGAATACTCAAGAATGACTCATATAACACGGCTGCCTTCAAACACCGCCATGTCTACTTCCTGCTAACAAGAAAAGGCAAAGAAATGCCAGCTTTGTTCTGGAGACTGTAGTCATTTAAAAAAAAAATTAGAAGCTGCTCTGAGCTTTTATAATTACAGGGGGTTTTTCACTTGTGAAAAGACAACCCCCCACCCAATAACCTAAACTGCAAGAATGGCAAGCAATACATTTGTTTCAAGATGATCCTTTCACAAACCCTAACTTTGGAAAGAGGCATTTTACACCGCCGCCCTAATGGAGCTGTGTCCCTGTTCTGCTGAGTGAGTTAACCCCACGGGGAAGAAGCTCCTGACGTCTGACTCAGTAGCCAGCATGAGGGAACATCCACTTCCATTAAGCCTTAAAAACTTGGAACTTGCAACCAAGTGGAAAAACCATTCCCAGCAGTCTCTGCCATCACCTCTCAAGACAGTAGTACTGGTGGCCCAAAGGGCACGGAGTCACCTAATAACAGGCAGACTTGCCTCCTCCATGAGCTTACCTAACATTCTCACAAGCTTGCAAAATGCCACTTAAAAACTCAATAAATTAATTAAAAAATTACACACACACACACACACACACACACACACACACACACACACGTCCCCCATAATTCCTGGCTGCAATCCCCAAAAGGCCATCTCACCAAAACAATTAAGCCAAAAGACCAGTTTATTCATCAGGCAGAGCAACTTTCCATTTCCTAAAGGACCTTGAGCTAATGTACAGACATGACAATAAAAACTACCATTGTGCCCAGAGATTAACAGTAGCCTTGACAGCAGTTTAAAAAGTAGAATACTTGTCAGCTGCCTTTCACTCATTTCCTGAAACTTTACCCTGAGGAGAATCCTGTTCCCTCATCTCAAAAGGATCAATCCAAGAACGGGTAATGACAAGGGGTGGAAGGGTCAGTGAGTGAAAAGAGAAGGAGGCAAGGCTCCCAGACTGCTTTTCGTGGTCACTTCACAGGTACCCTTAACCCACACTTTCACCTGAAAGAGAGGCGTTAACATGACATAATTAAGTCTTCAGTCTGACCAGTTGGTAAAATGGACACAGGAAAAGCTGGGAATAGAGGGATAAAGTAAAAGCAAGTGCCCCAAACAAGAAATCCACGTGATGGTTTGTTTTTGTGTGATTCAGTGCAAAGGAGAGGAAGGAAGCACCATCTACAATCACTCCACACACACGGTATTTGCATCCACCGTGATAACTACAACAGTTGCAGGAGAAGACTGGCAGCTTGGGAATGACCATGTTGCCACTGCCTACTAGCCATGGTAGCAGCCTCTTGTTTGGCTAATTCACAGGACAGAATGGGAAGGAGCAGGGCCAGGAGAAGACAATCCATGAGAAGACTGCCCTGCAACCTAAAGGTCTTCTAGGCACTTGCCTTCTATTCCTTGGCACCCCTTAGAAGGAAGAGTGGTCCCTAGGGAAAATGGTTCTTTCTTGTCTGAAAACTGCCTGGGGCAGCCAAATCAGAGAGGAGTGCTGCCCTGACTTAAAATGGTTGCTACATGGCTAACGGATACTTTTCAAACTCCAGATTCCCAGGAAATAGAGCAGCAGAGTCCCCTTCTTCCCCTCACAAGAGTTTAACTGATTTCCTCTGAAAGCCTCTAACTGGCTTGAGCAGAGAGGCATCACTGTCCACAAAGAAGTGCTGGTGAGTCTTCAAAATTATTTAGGAGCCACGCCTAATTTCACAGGCAGAAAACTAACTCAAGGTAGGCCTTGAGGAGTTGATATAATGTCTCTTTCCTTTTCTTGCAAGGAGGAAGAGATTGATACAGTGTGGAATGGAAGGGAAGAAATCTGACAAGAGCAAGTCAATTAGGACAGGAAGCAGTGTTTGCAGAATGAATTCTATGGAGAAATTCAAAAGTTTCATAGGAGGAGAGGGTAGAAGACTCACTTTTAGAAGCTGAAGGTAGAAATCACAGAGGAGACAAAGTACAAGTGAACAAAGTAAGATATTTTTCTGTTTTGTTTTTGTTTTTAATAATGGGAGGACAAAAGGGTTAATTCCTTCACTGCCTTTTCACTGGAGAATTGAAAATGATTGCCATACTATGGGATGCACTCCACCAGCAGGAATCTAACTTGCCTGTCTGCAAAGTTTTAAAGGAGTGAATACTTATCAGTTCTCAAGAGAAAAAGCTCTTGTTTGTTTAAATGTAAAGTCACCTACATGCTCCTTAGCTGAACTGGGTATCACATCAACAGAAGGTGTGTAGTGTGTGGAGATTCGCAATAAAAATGAAGGGTTTGTCCTGTGGTCCTTGAGGATCTGAACCAGATTACTAAAGAGAAGACATAGGTACGTGTGCTAACACTCAGTGGCCCATGGTCCTCAGAATAAACGGTAGCTGTGGCTTTAATCTTAAACTGCAATCACATCAAACTTTCAGTGTTTTAAACACATGTATTAATGAAGCTATCTCCTCTTTCAAAGCCCGCCTTCTCTTCCATTTCATTTTCGCAAGTTTGCTACTCACCCCCGACCCCAGTACAGTCGTTCACATGCAGTCTCAGGTGTGAACCAAAAATCGCAAGATAAACTTTACCACCGGGGGATTTTCCCCTTTACCTGACACTCGAAATTGTTTTGACTCTTTTGGGGATGCTTTTGGCTCTTCTGGTTTTGACATTTGCTTTCCAATAAGCACACATCCACAATTGGTTTGCATTAAGTTGATGAACGATCTAATGAGTGGAACCATATGGGTGCTGTTAAATAAAAATCTCTTTACCATAACAATGAGTGAAATGGCAGAGAGGGGAAGTGGATCTTATTTGAAAGCATATGACTATTTAAACACAAAACAAATACAGAGGGAAAAGCAATTCAGAAAGGTACAGAAAAAGATATCTACACCAGACAACAGTGGAGGATGCAGGGCTACACGTGCCTGTGGAGATATGCTGCTCCCCTTGTGTCTGAGTTCCAGTGCTTTCCAAGTCGATGGGCAGATGCTGAAAAATAGAGCAGCTTCTTTTTTTCTCTTCTATCTCTTGAATTCTATTATGAGGCAGTTCTCTGCTTGCCACCAAGGCAGAAAGAAGCATTTCTCTCATCCACTCACCGGTCTGGCAGGGTCCCATCCTTAGTTTTCCATTGTAGCCCCTGGGTACTACTGTAGTGACTCAGGGATGGTGCTGACAACGTGGGCTGCCTCTGTGGCTGCTGGAGGGGAACCAAAGAAGGTGTTGGTTTGATTCCTCTGCTGATCTCGGAGGTAAGGAGGAACTGACGAGCTTTTGATGTGCAGGATCCTGGTGTCCATCACCTGACAGTCAATCTGCATCATCACTTCGTAATCCTGCCCATTGATCACATTCTCTGCAGACGGAAATAAACACAAGGAATAAATATTCAACAGAATGTGCAATTCTGCTATAAGCTTCAGTCCCAGAAAGACATCAGTGCGCTTCAAGGGTGTGAGCTGTCAACACGCTTTCAAGGGTACAGAGAGACTTCATCAGTCACTAAGCAGAGCTACAGTGCCAGGATGGCCTGTCCTCTCCTCAATTCTAGTTCCCAAACAACCTTCACTGGCTCAGTAAAGGCTGGAGCCACTGTCAGACTTAATACCACAGATTATCTGTCCACAGACATTATATGTCTTGTATGCTTTCCATGCAGTGTATCACCACGATTGGAGCAACTGGAACAGCAGGAGATTTCAGTTGGGGGAGGGGAGAGTGTAGAGGGAAGAATACTTAAGTTCTCCCCTTCCCTTTCAACAGTGGGCAGGAATAATTGTCAAAAGGACCACCATATCATGCGAAAGGTAAGGAGACCTCGGCCAGGACTGCCTGGCTCCTGTTCATCAGTAATGCTTCTAATTTCATGAAGACATTCCCAGCTATGAATTTAAAGATTTGTGCTTAGGAACATAAAATACAGTGAAGACTGACAACAAGTTGTAGACATCTGATAATCATGCTCTTTCCCAGAGACCACTGTCACTTCTGTTCCATATTAAGGCAGTCCTTAATTTCAGTTCTGGATTCCAGGTACAAAGAGAGCCATACATTTCCAATTTGGGATTAAAAGGAATGCTATAAGGACTTCCAGGTAAACTAGAGGCTACTGGCATAAGGGAACGGGAAAAACCACAGAGAGCCATGCTTAACACATGTGGGGTAACTTACTCTCATGAGTTTAATATACACAGACATGTACTACACTCCATTCTTCCTGTGAGGACAAAAGCTCTTTATTTTCGGGAGAAGGCCAAATTATTCCCCGATTTGTAATTCTAGGTGGTCATTTTCCAACTTGTAGTCAATGAAACTTGGGCATAAAACTGATGGCAGAATTATAAATAGATAACATCTTTCAAGACCAGCTGGACATTCATAGCAATGCAGTTAGAAGATGTGTAAACTTGGAAGAATGCTGGGGAGTCAACGTGGCACCTTGGTTTGCATTTTCAGCCATGAATCTGGAGCTGGGTGTGGGACCAGGAAGAATGCTGGCGAGGGCCTAGTCCTGCACTGCCTTTTCATGAGGGTGATATACAGCCAACCAGTGATTTCAAAATTAAACATTTGGCTTCTCCGGGGCAAAGAATTGAAGTTAAAAGTAGAATTCTTTCTATTCCATTATCTATTTTTTTCTTTTTTTTTTTTTTACTACTACACCATGCGTGCCAAGTATTATAAATCCAGAGGAAGAAAATCCAAAGTTTGACATTTGATCCTCAGATTCCATTATGTTTGGGAAAATTGAACTATGGAGCTTGTAACTTAACGAGGCAGGAAATGACTTAAGGAGATCATCTAATCTGGGGTGTCTTAAATTAGGGTCTAATGCACAGACTTCAGGGAGTCCATAAGTTCCCTGAAATTGCATGCAAAGTTTTATTTGTATGTGCATTTTTCTGGAGAGGGGGTACATCAGATTCTTAATGAGGTCTATGACCCCCTAAAAGTTAAAAACTATTAAATCTAATAATCTATCAACTTTAAGTGCCTTGAACAGATCATATATCCCATCTTAAGGCCAATGGAAGACATCATTATTCCACTTCTGTTGGCTGATTGCCTGTTTCAATTTCTAAAATAGTCTCCATTGATGGTGAATTTCCCATTACAAGTCTTACAAATCTCTTCAATTACAGTTGAAGCTAATTTCCTTCTTTCCCAGCCTTACTAGCAATGAAGAGCAGTTGGTTGCTGCTGTGTAATAATAACCCTACCTATTCTTTAAGACCATTGCTGTGGACACTTAACTCCAATATTACAACTCCTGCCACTTTGTAATGGCTAACAAATCATTTACTTTTCTGTAGAGAATTAAATCTGATTGGCTGTAAGTTAGCGCCAACGTTTCCTATCAAAGTGATTTCTTTTCCAAAAAGTAGGCAATGGAAGAAAGACAACCTGTTAATGTATTTGGAGTCATTACATTCAGAACATGTGACAGGGTTAAGATTTCAAGGTGCCACACTAGTCATTTCCTTTTGGAACCATGGGCCCTCTCTGTTTTAGAAAAACTGAAAGACTGTGTGCATACACACACACACACACACACACACACACACACACACACGGACACATTGAGACACAGATGATCAAATAATGAAAAACACATGTATAAAAGACATGTAATATACATTACTAATTTTTACTACTTTCCTAGATTAACTCAGAATCCAGATGACAGTTTAAGATCAAGACTAGGTTCTGTCATATAGCCCATACCACCTGCAGAAGTTATTAGAGCCCATGCGCCTGCTATGGTTTAAACTGATAACTGGAGTTCTTTAATATCTTAAATGTTGGGAAGAGATGAAAAACCTGGTGATATGAGCTCAGATGCTTGGGGGAAAACTAAAGCTGCGACCTGATTCCAAAACCTGGGAGTCCCTAGTCATGGCTGAAATGGTACTGTTATCTTAAGCCCAACCAGGAGGCTCATGCTAGGTACGGTTTGGGTGGCTTTAAAATGGATCCTGTTCTTCACTCCTTTCTGAACTTCTAGGCCAAGGAAACAGTCAGCATTACGAGAAGAAGATTCTACCAGATAGGATATGAACGCCTTAAACCGAATTTAGGAAGCCCCTTCTGAATGACAAGCTGGAAAATTTAGGTTTAAAGTGACACGCCATTAGGAATCCCAAGTTACCCAACACCTCTAGAAAATAGTTACAGGGGCTACAGCAATTTCTTTTCTTCAGTCCACTCTGTGCGACCTTATAAAAGTCCTTTGGGTGTTTCAGTAATGACCCCCTTGGATAGTGAGTGAGGTGGTCTCTATTACTGATGAGGTTCTAATTATTTTAATTAAAGGAGGACAGAATGGGAAACAGCTTATGATAACTCGTGGTCTTCATAGGCCCCTCTCCTGCACTGTCAGGCATCTGTTCACACGATCTGCTTCCAGGAGCATCAGAGAGGCTCTGAAACTCCTCCCACAAGTGGCAGATGAAGCTCCCGTTATCCTTTACTTTCAGACTTTGAGCATAGTTAATAATTGACCACCCTCGGAAAGGACATTTTCAACTGTTGCCTATAATTTGTGCCTCGGTGTGAATAAAATATACCAGAGGAGGTTCTAACTGGAGAGATGAGAACCTGAAGACTCTGGTGGCTCAGGTAGGGAGGAGAGGAACAGCCTCTGAAGGAAAACCCAGGCAGGATGTGAGAGGCTGAGGACGGACGGCACACTTTCATTAAGGGCCAGGCCTCCATTATGAATGGGCAGTGCCCCAGTAATAAGAGAAAACATTACAGCTCATGGGCTTGCCGACAAGAGGGAACAAAGTCAACAACTAGGGAGTTGTTAGAGCTGAGTTATGTGAAAAGACTGCTGAAGGATTTTTGTGTACTTAATGAAAAAGACAGTGACTGGGAAAAACAGAACCAAAAGTTACAGTATGGAGCACAAATGTTAACGGTTCACTTTCCCTCTTCTATTAGCAAACATTTGGGTGCTGCACAAGCGATATAAATAATCTTATGTTCTGGGCCTTCTGAAGTGAACAGAATGAGAAGAAACACTGACCTGAGTCGGGAAAAAGGTATGAAATATGGATACTTCAAATTCAAAATTAATCAGGCAAATAAAAAGGAAAAGAGATGACTGGCTTCAAACATGAGCGCCAGAAAGTGAGTCTGAATGCCCAGAAGAGTTGGGAAAGCAAGAAAAAAAGTGCCTGGACACTGGCGGTGGAAAAACTCTAGGCAATGTGGAATTCTGAACAGCCTGTAAACACACAATAACTGAATTAAGAATGGCCTGCCAAGGGGCTGTTAGCTGGGAGATGACTAACACACACACCAGGACCTTAACCATAAACAGAATTTAAATACCCCCAAATTTCACAGAAAGTTTAGTTTTAAAAAATGACAAGACTTCACCAGTGCTTTGCAAAGACTATGTATGATAAAACAAGATTTCTGTTCAGAATCAGACACCAATCCTAACAAGAGGCAGTTTGCTCTGTGTAAGCTAGGCTGGTGACAGGCAGTGAGAGGCTGTCAGTACCTGTGCCTGAATCCTGTAGGGTGTGGGGTATGTGTGTGTACGTGGGGGAACATGGAAGGTAAATAAAAATCCCCCCTTCCACTGATCACAAGAGATACCTGCACCCAAAACAAACACGTGGAAAAATCAGGAAAGAAATCCAGAAGGGTAAGAAAGAGGAGACAAAGGAGACAAATGGAAAGGAAGGCGGGAATACAATGAACAATAAGGGGTGAAACATCACATGTTTTCGGTGGCTTTCAAAAACTTCCAAAGCTGACTTCACCACGTCTAACCAATCTCATCTCCAGTTTTTAACCGGAGTCCTGGTTTTGACCATCCCAGAGCACCATGCATTTTATCTCCGCTAGTACTTTATCCTCTGCTTGGAAAAAAAAATAAAAAAGCTCTTTCTGCTCTTCTCTGCCCAAATTCTCCATCCAGTCAATTTCTATTAACCCTTTAAGGCCCATTTCAAATCCCACTTCTAAGAAACCTTCCACGAAAACTCTAGCATTGATCTTTTTCTTTATAACCAATATATGAATGTTCCGTGTCACTGAATATGTTAAAATGCTTATAGAAAAACGGTTTGGCTCCTTTAAGAAACGTTGGGCATTTCTGAAGGTCGCCGGTGGGGGATCACTGGTAGAACTAGATAGAACCTCTCCCTCAACAGTGGGGAAGAAGACTGAGTGAGTAAGTACCAGTCGTATTGCAGATGCAAACACAAAATATGCTTCCGACTTGAAAAATCTTTCTGGAGACATAAGGGAGAACACTTGCAGGAGCAAAGAGCTCCTAGCAACCACCACGTCTGCCCTTTGCCGTTTCCGGGACAGAGGAGAGATTTCAGGCTGTGAGTG